CTTTTGTTCTTTCTCTCTCCCTCTCCTTCTCTTTCCCATTCTTCTCTCCTTCACTCTCATTCTTCTTTATCTCCTCCTGTCTCCTTCTCTTTCCTGTTCTCACCTCTTATCTTCTTCCTATTTCTTTGATTCTTTCTCCTCTTTCTCCCTCCCTCTCTCTCCATCTCTCATTCTGTTTTCCTTTCTTTCTCTCTTTCTCTTTTCTCTTTTTTACTTGTTCTTTCTCCCTCCCTCCCCTTCTTTCTCCCATTCTCCCTCTCCTTCAATCTCATTCTCTTTTCTATCTCCCTCTGTCTCCTTCTCTCTTTCCCATTCTCACCTATTATTTTCTTTCTGTTTCTTACTGTTTCTTTCTCTCTCTCTCCCTCTCTTTCATTCTCCCCTCTCTCATTCTTTCCTCTTCCTCTCTCATTCTCTTTTTTTCTGTTTCTCACCCATTCTTTCTCTCTCCTTCTTTCCCATTTTCCCCTTCTCCTTCACTCTTTTTTCTATCTCCCTCTGTCTCCTTCTCTCTCTCTTTCCCAAGTTTCTTTTTTGCACCCCGAAGGTGAAAAGAAACCCCACCTAGCTTCTCCGGCTTGAAGGTAAGGGAGGGGAGTGGTCTCTGTGTGAACCCCCCCCCCAAATCCTCCCTTACGGGAGCCGAGAGGGACCCCCAGCCCCTTTCCAGCTTCCGTTCCCTCCTCTGCTCACCTGCAGAAGGCGCCCAGGTTCTCCACTAGGTAACACTGCCCCCCGTTGTGGCAGTAGCTTGGGAAGGTGTCGCAAACTGACTTGCAAGTTGCGTTGTGTCGCGTGTAGCCGCTACGGCATTCGGTGCTATTCTCTGGGATGCTGACTTCCCGGGCCGGATCCCCCGAAACTGGTCCGGCAATGGTTCGTCCCCCCGAAACGACGAAAGTCTGCAACGGGGGGAGAAGAAAGCGGCGGACGGTGGGCTCTGTGCCAGGGAGTTTGCTGTGGACTTTAGGGGGTGTGGGCGTGGGGGCCCAGGGGTCCTTCCCCTCTTCCTCTTCCTCTGCAGCCCCTGCCTCTTCCTCTTCTTCTTCCTCCTCTTCCTCCTCCTCCTCTGGCTCCTCTTCCTCATCGCCATCAGTGTAGAAGGAGGTTGTGGGGTAAAAATCCGACTCGTCGAATGGGCTGAACTCATCGTAAAGGTCGCGGAAGGGCCACGAGACCCCTTTGTCCACAGACGGCTTCGACTTGGTCGAGTCCAAGCCAGGCCCACGCAAGGCCCCCCCGTCGAAGAGGTCATAGTAATCGATGTCGATGATCTCCGAGGCCAGTGGATCAGAAGAAGGGGTCTGCGTAGATCTGACGACGGGAGGTGCCACGGAGCGGAGGGTCTCCAGGTTCGGGGTGCGGCTGGACAGCTCTTCTGTCGGGCGGGCACCCTGGGCACCGCCGGCTCCTCGCAGGGTCTCAGCCGCTTGTGGGGGGTGCGTGGATCGCGTGGGGTCAAGCAGCAGCTCCCTCTCGGCGTTGTCGCGACCGAGTGGATCGAAATCGTGCGGGGGGAGTGCCGTGGCCCATCCGGGATTCAGGGGCGTCTTCGCGTGGGGGTCTCCACTGCCCACGTCTTCCTGGCTGCCGGGCCCGGCTTTGCCTCGGTCGAAAAGCCTCCAGGTGCCATCTTCCGCCCGACCCAGGGATGCCCCGCGTGGGGCAGCCGAGGAAGCTTCAGTGCCGGGGTCCGGGGGCGAATCACTCTCCACCATCTCTCTCACCGTCCGCCGGGAGCAGCCGGGACAGAGAACTGGCCAGGTTTTGGGCTCCCACGTGGGTTGCCGGGCCCATGTGGGGGGCAGAGCGTGGAGCACCAGTTGAGACTCCTTGGCCCGGGCCGGTTGCACAGATGACCCCTGAGCCGCGGAGACGTTGCCCACCGGCCCGGAGGTCTCTCTGAGGGGAGCCGGATGCACTTTCGTGGGGGGCTGGCTGCTGAGAAAGAGGGCCCCCTGGCTGCTTCTCCACAGGGGTCCCGGGATTTTGGGGTCACCCGGGAAACTCGGACGGGGCTCAGAGCCTGCAAGGGAGGAAAGCAGAGGCGTCGGACACGGTGCTTAGGGTGTGTGTGTCTCTGGCTACGCCCCCACCTATGGCAATGCTCACACGCCTCCGTGGGAGGGGGGAGGGGGAACCCCCAAGAGAGGAGGAGGAGGAGGAGGAGGAAATAAATAGGCCTATTTTCTCCCATGCCCTTCACCGCGGCTGTGCCACGCGGGGCATGGCAAAAATAGCAGCCGTTCCCACACAGCCTGATTCACCCGGTTGGATACTCGTCGCCTCCTTCAGAGCGTAGTAAAAGGAGATTAATTCCCAGGAGGTGTGGCCAGGGGGGAGAGAGGGAAGGAAGGAAGGAAGGAAGGAAGGGAGGGAGGGAGGAAGGAAGGAAAGGGAGGGAGGGAGGGAGGGAGGGAAGGAAGGAA